CATTGTGTGTCTACCCCCGCTATATATGAGAGGCCTAGGATACAAGTGTCCTACTAGGACACGACTCCATATCCTATCTAAACACAATACAATTCAGAGTCCAACTGTAACCTAACTTGTACACAATATTCGACACAACTCTAACAACGTGAACGTCTACGTCTATATTGTGTTTCTAAAAGAAAACTTATGCAGTGTGTTTCTTACAAAAAAACTTTCAGTTCACATCAAAAGAACAGAATCCCTATGACTAGCTAACTACTCAAGTTAGTTCCCATTACGCAAACGGGTTAACACTAGCTAACTAATCAAGTTAGTATATTCCAACCCAGAATAGACAACAACATATTTTGCAAACTGAAAATTCTACAAAAAGTATTGATTTTGTTTTTGGTATACATAGAGCATCATCCCAAATAAGTATGACATGATTACAGAGGCGAATTGGATCGTAGCTCAACATATTTTCCCTTTTGATTACTGAAGAAGATGCCTTGATGAAGTAACATAATAAGGGTTCTATTCATTTATGTTATTAATGTTTGAGGAGTGATGCATGTGCACATCCTATTGTTTGGAAACTTCAAGTTCCTCCACAAATCCATTTATTCTGTATTGTTATTGGCTAATAGTAGACTCCTCTCTAGAGACAATTTGAATAAAAGACAAAATGTGCATGACCTATCCTAATTTATTTTATACTAAAGATGAGTAGTGTGTGCACATGTTGTTTGAATGGTCAGATGCTTTAGAAACTTGAAAAGTGATTGCCGAATATCATTTTTAACTGCTTGTGTTGATTTGTATACAGTTACCTGTTGGGGTTAGTAACACTAACCATAAAGTTGCGAGTGTTACCCACACAACTACTTTGATGGGCTTTGTGGAAACTTCGCAGACCGCGGTGATATTTGTGTTAATTGTGTCCAATGATGTGGAATAAAGGAAAAAATCTCGTCGCCGACCTGGCTGGTAATCTGGATTGTCATGGTGATGGTACCCTCTGTTCCCGATGACATGACTCTAAATGTTGGAAAGCAGTGACAGTGTGTTTGGCATGCCGTCTAGAGGCGAAGAGCATCTACAATAGGACTGGGCTGATTTGGCTCCTCATACGTCTAGAGACGTGGTGGAACAAAGTACATGTGTGTCTACTTAGAACCCTCATTTTTCTGTGCGCGCAACCATGTCTTTAAAATTGTTTGGTCAAATGCATATGGTCGATCGAGAGAAAGGGAAAAAATGAATTAGAAAAGGAGGTAAAGTGATCCAAGCAGGACCGTATCCGACACTGCGGACTGCCTGAACACCCTCATATTCTTCTCACATATGGGTTGAGTTTGAGGGTTTACGGACAGCCCAAATATATGAGGATGAAGGGTCCGGTTGGATGGTGATTTTTCCTTTCTCTCAGACCGAGCTGTCCGCCAGATATATGAGGGCAATTTGATTGGTACAGTTGTAGTTGCTCTAACTCCCGGAAGTTCATGGAGGATGAGATGATGGTTCGTGTCGTTTTCAAGATGTGAGCTGCAGGTTGTGTTTCCTGGTTGTACGCATTGGATGTACGTTTTGTGTACTCTATTATGCTGGATTTTGCGTGTGTTGCTTTACCTTGCCGGCTAAATTGATTTAATAACTTTGTTTTTTCCTTGGAAGCCGGTGTAATAACGATGGTGGGTTCATGATCACTAGAACCTATTTTACCTAAAAAAACCACAATAAGACAATTAAATAGTTCTTGGCTTATGCCATGTGAAGAAATAATTGTCCAATGAGTGGCATGTTTGGTGACTTGTCAGCAGCATGCCGAAGATTCAAAATGCCAAGCGTATGCGTCCAAAATTAGCGAATATAATCCCAACTACTACTAGTCATTTCTCGTAATGATCAGCGAGTCTACTTTTTCTTAAAAAAAAAACCAGCAAGTCTATAAGTTCTGTTTTTTGCGGGGTTGCAAGTCTATATATTCAAACGCACGTTCTTCCAACGCCCAAGAGCCAGCCACGGAAAGGTCACTCATCAACAGTGCACCCAATGCCGTTTAGCTGAATGGTAGTATTAGTAGGCTAGTAGTACGTAGCACGCACGAGACGGAGATAAACGAGACCTCCGGCTCAGGCCTACTAATCGGGTTGAAAGCCAGGAAAAGGTGAGAAGAAATTCAGAAAGCGCGCCAACCAGCAACCGATCGAGCCGCCGGATCGAGTTTGAGGCAAAAAACACTTGGAGACTTTTCAGCGCAACGCATATGCGTGTGCGTGTCAGTGTCAGCATGCAGGCACATGCACCATGCATGCACCGGTTGACGAGCGTGGACGGACCCGGTGAGATGAGATGGAAGCTGTACATGCGAGGCAATTTCATGCGAGACTTGCAGGCGCTTCGGCTTTGTTGGCTCGCATGCGTATGAACGCTGGCCGGAGGACTGGATCGATCGTGTCCCGTACGTATACATAACAAAGAAGACGGAGATGATACGCGCGCATGGGCTGCGCAAAAATGAAAAACCTCCATATAAATTGTGGATCCGATCATGCACATTGCGTTCCAGATGGGATAAACTAGTGGCTGGTCGCGCGCGTTTACACGGCCTGGCGTAGACGTCCCAACAACTCCGCCCTCGTCACTGGAACCACGTACTCACGGATGATCGTCAGAGGAAGAAGAAGGGAACATCGATAAGGCAAGACGAGTGATAGATTTCGTGCATTTACGTACATGCGTGCCGGCGCCCCTAGAATGAAAGCAAGGAAAAGAGAAACCAGCAACAACCAAGGCCGGAAAAACATTTTAAAGAGAGGATATGGCAACAAACTGAACAACTTGCACGAACATGTCGGCCGTTGCGGCGGGCATTAAGCAAAGCCGCGACGGCACGGCACACCCGCCCCTTTTACTCCCCTGGCCCGTACGTCTCCGGGCATTAAGCTTGATCGACGTGATGGACGCGTGCCCATGTTGGCGGAGACCGTGCATGCATGCAGATCGTCATAAAACTAGGATTGGACGGGACCGGAACAAAGCAATCAGGCCGAACGTACCCCATATCACCTGCACATGGCATGCTTGCCCAGTGGCTCGCCGCGGTCACCTCGATCGGCCGGTGCGCGAGGTGTTGTCCCGATCGCCGGTTCGGTTGGTGGGCGCGCACTGGAGCCGGCCGTCGCGCCGCTGGGCTGCAGCGCCTGAACGGCCGGCCTGGTCCCGGCCACCAGACGCGCGCTGGCCCTGCATGCCTGCCCCTACTAGCTATCCCGTGCCCGGTCGTGTCAAACAATTATGCGCTGCTATAATTAAGTTGTGCCACTAGTCGAAGGAAAAGTCCCAGCCATGACACGAAAAGTAATCGAGGCACGTACGTAGGAGTAGTACGTATCGAGCCGGATCCGGTCCGTGGATTAGCGGAGACGACCGAGCCGATTCGATGGATCCAGGTTCATGTCCCGACTTTCTTCTTCTTCTTCTTCTTTGAACCTCCAGGTTTCGTGACTCATTTATGATCAAGTAGTTCCGGCTTGACGAATAGTGCCGGATCGTATCCGCCTTTTCGAAGATTCAGCATGATTATACACTTGATTAGTAGTAGTGCAACTTCCGTGCCGATCACGACTGGGGACGACGTCAGTAATTGCAACTAACCAACGACTTGTCTGGACTACTCCGGGCTGATAATCCCTGTACTACCAACCAGCCAGCCTATCCAGACATAATAATCCACGAACGGTTTTCACCTTTTGAAACTGGCAGCACTGCTTCTACAACATATAGCCCAAAAATTCGCCCCCTTTGGCCTTTACCGATCGACGCATTTCTACTCAATTTCGCGTCGGTGACAACAACATCTAGAATGACGGTGTCGCGTTGGGTACGGGGTAGTACTTAAGCAGCATAGTTAGACCATCGCACCTGCTAACATAGTGAGAAGTTACCCCGACTTTTCACATTACCCGTGAAGAAACGTGGTCATATGAATATGGTACAAGCACTGCATTCACCACGTGGCCAGATTAGCTAGTGTTGTTAACCACATGGTGGTAGCAGCAGCTGATGTTCATACCGCACCCATCGCAAGAAGAATCTTACAGAGTTCAGACCAGAATTCGTGCACTGAATATTATTATTTACCTTCGTCCGTTTCGATCGCCATCCTCTGTTGTCAATCAACCAAAGAGAGCCACGTGGGTGTAACGTGACACTTTCTTTACTCTTTAATTTTTGAAAACACTGTGTGGACATTTCAACATGCCAATTGGTGATATTTCGGCAAAGATGATCGCATATGGTTCACCAAGTCGACGGGGAGGAATTAGGAAAGGAGGCACACGACGTCACCGCGCCATTGAGGACGCCGATAGATATGCTAAACAAGGGACTAATTGAGCTCGCGGGGACTGGTTGATGGGGAAGATGGACTTGGCCATATGTAAGTGGATTTTTGAGCCGTTAAGGGCATCCCAATGCCGACCCGCAAACTTTCCGTAATCATCTGGACTGCGTGGTCTGAACCGTAAAAACTATCCAACGCCGACATGTAGGTCCGTGAGGCGATTCGGACGTGATCTCTCCCGCAAACCAAAGACAAAAATGGGAAAGGTTTACGGGAGTTCGGATCGATCACAGGCCCGCTTCTGATCGCTCTGGCCCACCAAATAGCCCTCCCTCGTCCCGCGCATTTTCGGTCAGCGCTGCTTCAGAACGTCAGCATCCGTATTCATGCTCGGCCAGAGCGGACGTGACCGCTCACTAGTGCCAGCATTGAAACGGCGCACCGGCCAAGAGAGTGCCGCGCTCGCCGCTTTCCCGGTGCAGGTGACTGTCGCGCGTTCAAGCGACACGACGGCCGCCCGTCCGTCTACCGGCCGTCGGTGCTCTATAAACCGCTATCCCGGTGCCCCGGTCATAGCCACAGTCATCCCTCTCCGCAACACTCCCCGCCAAAGGATCCCTCCGCCACCAAAGCTCTCTGGGACGGGCTGACGTCGGAACAGAAGAAGGCCATGGCTGCCATTTCTACTGACCGGCAGGCCGGCATGCAACCGGAGGACGTGCAAATGGAGGACGCCCCCGACGACGAGCAAGCGACACCCTCCTCTTCCTCCGAGGCATCCTCCACCTCCGCTCCACCCTCGCCGGTGCATTGCATCATGGCCATCGGCGCCCATTATATGGACATGGTGCAGGAGGAGCAGTTCCGGGAGGTGCAGGCCGACGCCAACTACAAGCACAACCTCTTCGAGGAGCATTTGCAGGCGGAGGAGCAGGTCGCCGCCGGCAGGGCGGTCGCGCCGGACGCGGACCTGACGGAGCAGGAGGCGCTGCTCGAGTCCTACCGCTCCGCCCGCGAGATCCGCCTCGCTCGCTGGCGGTACTGACAGCGGATGGCGGAGGTGGCGGCCACCGGCAAGTAGTGCGACGACGAGGCGGGCGAGGCATTGTTCGGCGACACCAATGACCACGAAGAAGTCGGCACGTTCGCGGGAGCCGTCGGCAGCGAGGAAGAGTAGTGCACGGTAGGTCGCCGCCGCTCGTGTCCCAGAAAGGCCACCGCTCCTCCCGTCCCGTCGACACCAAGCTTGGTGAGTTGAGCATCTTCAGCCCATTAGTCGCCTGACGGGGACGTCGAGGCGGACAACTTCAATTCTCGGGGCTCCGGAGACGGAGGTCACGGAGGCGGAGTTAGAGAGCGCCGAGGCGGAACTGGAGATGGTGAAGATTCAGTTCTCGGGGATGATGGCCAGAGACGGGGACCGGACGCCGGCGATCATACATAGTAGGTATTAATTATATACTCCATAGCCCGTCTAGGACCGCTTTGATGTATTTGTAATGAAATTCGTCATGTTTATATGAAATTCAGTATGTTTATACAAAATTTAGGCATGTTTATATGAATTCCGAACTTGTTTGAATGCATTTCGTTCAGTTGGTTTGAGTTGCTGTGAAAATGTATGCGGCTACGGTTGAATTGTTTTGTCCCACATCCATATCCGCAGATGGATGAGGAAGAATTTTTATTAATTGCCATTGAAGATGCCCTAGCTAAGACAGCGAGGGGTTGAATTGTTGTGTCCGACATCCATGTACATGGAAGGCGAGGCGGGGAGGAGAAGTGCATGGGTGAGACCGTGAGAGCGAGCGAGCGTACGGGTGGGCGTATACGGATGCGCGTACGCGCGAGCTTGAAAACGAGAGAAACCAGCTGGGCCTGCAACTAACGCGCTCTCCTCGCCTCGACACGCCATTCCTTTTATCACATCGTCCTTTGCCACTTTGCGTGGAGGCGGGCCATGGACCGCAATCACTGTCCACTCGCCTAGATGGTGGATTGATGCTGACGCTGTCCTTTTTTTTTTTTCTGGCCGGAGATGTTGCGCGAACTCTAACACGGTTTATCAAAACGTACTGTACCTCACTAAATATCCGTTGTTTGTGGACAACGATATAGGTGGAGACCGTCCAACCAACAGAGGCACCAAAACCCCGCCCCATTTCAAACGGCTCTTAAAAAATAGATGAAATTCATGCATGCTAACCGGGCGGTATTTGTTAAATTTTGGTACACAGCAATCAAAATGGAATGAAATCTTTAAATTCATTATGCTTCGTGATTACAGAGCTCTCTCATACAATTGAAGTGTTCGATTTCGAATTTTGAATCATGATTTTGGCCGGTTAGCGGTTTCGTAAGAAGTTCTCTGTTTTGACTTGGTCAGTGATTTCTTAAGGAGTTCTCTAATCTGACCGCGTTTAAAAAGTTCTCTCATTTGATTGAGGTGTCCTACTTTGGATTTGGTTTATAAATTTGACAGGGTCAATGATTTCTGAAATTAATCAACAACAACTAGTCTATAAATATGTATCAATCTCAAGCACCCTCCCATCACCTAGCAAAGAATAAGCGCCAACATGCGACACTGTAAAAAACGGTATAGTACAAGCCACCACCATCGCAAAAGACCCTTCCCACGCGTGTGGATTGATTAGCAGAAAATACAGGATCACACATACATCCATCGTCATCCGCGTCTTCACCGTCGTCCTTCAAAATGGCGGAAGGCCCATCAGGAATCAAATTTTTAGGCATGGCAAATTATGTTTTTCGAGCGTGGCAAGCATGGCAAATCCGTCTGAGTTTATTGTTTTGTTAGAAAATTGTCATGCTCGGCAACTAAATTTGTCATCGTTGCCTCAATATAAATTGCCATGACAAACATTTTATTTTCCATGTGTATTTCTCGAAATCGGGGCTTCGGGGACCCAAGTAAGGTTCAAACTCTGGGGTGCGCTCGTTGAACTTCGCTACGCCCTACCTAGCTGCTCTCGACCTCACGGTGGCGCTCTGGGCGTGCTCGAGCCAAGGAAGGACAAGAAACATGGCAGTTTATCTATGTTCGGGCCACCTTGCGGTGTAAAAATCTACTCATGCTTTGTGGTTGGATAGCCTTGCGAGGGAGGATGAGTAAGAGAGTACACGGTGTTTTCTTGCTCCCGGGGGTCCGATCCCTTTCTATGGTGGTGCTCTGCCTATCTTATACTGGCCCGATCCTCTTCCCCCAAAACACAAGGCGGGAAGGGTGACCACAACAGCCAATTTAGAAGGGGAACATGAGTACAGCTTATCTTGGCAAAAATGGTCTTCGTCTCCTAAAGCTCCCTGCCATGACGTGCCGGTGGGCTCGACGATGACCTCTGTCTTGACGAGCCTGTTGTCTTGGTCTTCTAGCACTGAAATGGCAATCTTTGGGATTGTCCTAGAACCCACGAGCTGGTCTTGCCTCCTTAGCACCAAAAAGGAAAGATTCACCATCCGCACCTGCTGGCATGGCTCCTGGCGACGCCTGTCCCGGCTCGCATCACCCATGTGCAGCGCAAGGCGGGTTTGGTGAGCCTAGACATATCCTCCCCGCGAGGGACCTCGGGAGGCAGCTTCTGAAGGCTACCCTGCGTGAGGCCCTCGAGGAGCCCTTGGTGATGCCCGCCTGGCACGCGCCTCGCGAGGGTCTTACTTGTGAAGCCTTGAAGGTGGGCCGCGTTGGGCCTACGGCGTGCGCCGCGTCCTGGGCCGCAGGCAGACGAGCCTGGGTACCCCTAGTCCCACGGGCCCAACAGTATTAATCTTACGTCAGACTTTTAGCATTTCCAAAAAATATTTCTCATTTGTGTAGGAATACTAATTTGGTATTGTGATTGTTGATAGTTTACTATATAGAAATTGGTCAAACTTTAAATCATTCGATTTGGGGCAAAACTCATTTCCCTTTTCCAAGCACGGAGGCAACACCAAAGCAAAAACGGTTATGTGTTTTCCTCCAAGAAGCGTTATCCCTTATTTGTGTGGTAACCGTAGCTCCACATTGCTCACCCCATGCCCATGGAAAGCTTTCATTAACAGAATGGTGTAGAAGTAAAAGCCACGTGGTATGAACGCACAACTCCTCCCAGCCTCCAAGGTTGAAAATAGTGCACACAAAATTTTCCTATGTTGCAAGTAGACACCCATCTTGTCTTTCCTTTCACAAGTATATGCTATAGAAAATCCAAAATGACGCAAAAATTTCCTTGCGGGATTGCGATCTAGCACTGCAATATGACCGGAGAGCAAGTGGTATTACTCTATGAAAGGAAAAGACCAGCTCAAATTTCCTTCATACAGTACCACAGAAGGAGTACCTAATCCCATGCAGCCAAACAAAACGACCGTTCAGGAAGGAAAGAAAAGGAAAACCTTGTGCGCCTGTGCTCGGATCCTACCCTCCCCTGTCCGTGAACGCCGCGCCATGCCCTACCTCGGAACGGCAACCCTGGGCGGAGGGCCCGTGCGCCGCGTCCACAGCCACAGCCGCGCCCAGCTAATCTGGTGCTGGTCCATAGCCCATGCTCCACCCCCACCCCCATGTTACGACCTACTCGTCCGCTCGCAACAGCCATACGGCAGCAGCAATAACTCCATCGGCCCCAGCCGCTCGCCGCCTATTAATACCCCGGATGCCCAGCTCCATGGCCGCAAACCAACAGCTGCTACTCCAGCATCCATCTCTCATCTTCTTCCTCTTGCAACGAAACGAGCGTCTAGGTTAACAGCTAGCTAAAGATTCGGACGATGGCCGTTCTTGTGGCGAGGCAGGGGCGCGAGCTGCAGCGGTACAGCGCGAGCACCGGCGGGCGCATCGTGGTGGGGTGCATCCCGTACCGGGTGCGCGCAGGCGGCGACGGCGACGGCGAGGGCGAGCTGGAGGTGCTGGTCATCAGCTCGCAGAAGGGGCACGGCATGATGTTCCCCAAGGGCGGGTGGGAGCTGGACGAGTCCATGGACGACGCGGCCCGGCGCGAGGCCCTGGAGGAGGCCGGCGTCCGCGGCGAGATGGGCAAGGTGCTCGGCTGCTGGCACTACCAGAGCCGCCGCTACCAGACCACCTACGAGGGCATCATGTACCCGCTCCGCGTCACCGACGAGCTCCAGCAGTGGCCCGAGATGGCCTCCCGCAAGCGCACCTGGGTGAGCACAGCTTCTTGCCCCCTTCATTTCTTGACGCAGAGTCAAATTAGGAACCAAGAACATGCCCTCTAAACGTGTGATTTCCGATTGATTTGAGCAGGCCACGGTGCAGCAGGTCATGGAGGGATGCCAGCACTGCTGGATGCGGGAGGCGCTCGAGGAGCTCGTCGCCCGGCACGCCAAGCCGCAGTCCGCCCTGTGAACAGCCAAGCGGGCTGGCGGGGTGACTGGAGCTCGAGCGCGCGCGACTCTCGCGAGAAGAGGCCGGGAGCGAGCACCAACGTCCGTCCGTCCGTCGTCCTCGTCGTCTCTCTCTCCTTTCCTCGGTGCAGCGGCAGGCCTGCCGGCGTGTCCGGTGTCGTACGACGACCGGACCGGAGCATATATTTGGCCGCCCTTGCCGGAGAGACGGGCTGGGATCCACGATGGCACGCGCGCGTCGACGCTTTCCTGAGGAGGCGCAGAGTCGTCGTCGGCGCGGCAAATAATGGGGACGAACTTAGAAATGTGTGAGGTAGAGATCGGAAGCGAACGGGGCAGGAAAAAATGACAAAACAGTGCCGAACGAACATGTTCACGATTCTTTCTTTAGGCTCTGGGAGTAAAAGATCAATCAAACTGTAAATTAAATTAAGTAGCCGCGTCTTTGTGGCACGCTCAATCAATCAAATGAGGACTAGTAATACTTACTGTACAATCTCCGTCTGGAATTACCTGTCGTCGAAATGAGCTAGTGGAGTACTATTCTGTCACCACACAAATTCCTGCAAAAGTAAAAGAAAAAAAATCTACCGCTATATCTGTTTGATCAGAAACAAAAGTTGCGCACGCCATTAGACTTGCTCTTGGACAGCAACATCGATGTCGAGCGCACGCTAATTCCTCTCCGCGCGTTCTCGGCCGTTCTCGGCTGGCCGGAGCATCTGTCCTGTCCTGCTGCGATGTTCCTATTCCCTTGCATTATCACCGCAACCGAGAGAGAAAGCTAAGCAAAGCATTGATTCTGTTCCGCTGGCGCGGCAGCTACTACCGAGTGGAGTACGTGGTGGTGGAAGGAAGCTGCTACAGGCAGCGAGTGCTGGATATGCTCGCACGTCCAAGGGATCGAATCCCCACCCGTTTCAAGATACGGCTCCGCCAGCAGCATCCCCTTTACGGCTGGACCGCCCTCGCCGGAGAAGGCGACGATACACGTCTGTAGTACTAGACTACTAGTACGTGGAGAGGCTCCGTCCGGCCGGGTGTGTGCGAAAACATGACACGCCGAAATGAAAAAGGTTTTGCAATCACTGCCTATGCCTGTCACGTAGATGTAGGGTGTCGTGCCGTGCCGTTTTCTCACGCAGATAAGAGCTGACGTGAAAATGCGGGAGGCCATGCCCCAGCATGCCCCATTTGGTTTGTAGGAATTTCATAGGAATTCTAGAGGATAGGATTCTTATAGAATTTTTTCCTTTAGAGATCTTTGGTTCATAGGAATGGATTCATATTCCTACATAGAATTGATTCCTATCCTCCACATTTTATAAAAAAATAAAAATGAGCCTAGACTCAATGAAAAAATTCATTTGATGGTAATCAAATGACATCTTATTTACTATTCCTACTCATAAGATTTGAGATACCTGTCATCTCATTTTCTACAAGATTCCTATTTTTATGATAATTTTATCTTATGAACCAAAAGAGCGCTAAAGTTTCATTGCTTCAATCAGTACGAAACGAAATTTGGGGGGAGCCGGGCGGTACAGACACTGCCGCTGGACGGCGACGTGCGGAAGGCGACGCGCGCGCCCAGTCACGGCGTGGCCCCGCGCCGCTCGCTCGACCGCATCCGCCGATTATATTGCGGAGACCCGCTTGACTTTGGACAGTAGGATTTGTCGCCCCCTCGCTTGCTCCGTAGTAAAAATTATCGTTGCGGCTGGTCGGCATCACGGCGCGCTAGTAGGAGCACTATAGTACAACACTCACCCCCATTGATTGGCAGATGATGATGAGGGTGGGATTAATCTGAGCCCGTGCAGTCGTGGCGGTCCACGTACGCTTGGCTCGTTGGGTGCCGCGGGATAAAAACGGCTGACGAGTCATCCATTGGCGTAGAGTAATTCATAAACAACTTGACGACGACAGTGAAAGAGACGAAGGAGAAAGTGGACCCGGCCCGGCCCGCGATGGGGACGGAGGGTGGCGCCCGCCCGCCCGCCCGTCGTTTCGTTTGTTTTATCGGCACTTGTGCGGCACGCCGGTGATTGTTAATCACGGCGGTGCAGTGCTTTTGCTTCCGCCCGCCGTTTCGCTCCTAGATTTTCTTTGCACCGGTGACGGCACCGGTGTCTTTTGTGGCCTCCGCCTTTCACCTTTGCGGTGGTAGATCGGTGTGGGGGACGGGACGAATCCGTTGCGTCGCCGACGCTGACGGCTCAACGCAGTGAAAGATTCTCGGTAGATCGTTGTACAGTGACTCTGATAAGTCTGATTGAGTTCGTGGAGGACATCGATCCAAGTTTACCGTTCGCCGGGACCTTTCAGATGCACGCTCGCTCGGGCAGCTTCCTCCTCCGCCATCGCCGAGGCCTGACCGAGCCTCAAGCTGCATGCCGGCGAGGGACCGAGCGCCGGTTCACGGAGCAGAATCGTTCAAGTTGGGGCAGCTCGACCCGATCAATGTGTGACTCGGAGCCATTCGGAGGGACTGACGCAGGACGGGCCTAGTCTAGTGGCAACTTGACAAATTCAACAGTACAATAAGCTTATGAGACGACGTGCTCACCGCGAGCGGGTCGGGTTATCATCGTCGCTGGCGACCGCGCGCGGTTGGTGGGCGTCTGGGCGAGCAGGACTGCAGGAAGGAGCCCCCGGCTGGACCGAGCACGCCGGCAGTCCATTGTTGGACTGGTTTCTTCGTATTTTTAACGGATCTTGGACCAGTTTGTTGGGCGCCTCATCTTAAAAAAGTTTGTTCGGCATCTATGCTTGAGCCAGGAGGAAGTTGAAGTAGCACTATTTCAGATGTACCCCACTGAGGCGCCCGGTCCGGATGGCTTCCCGACGCACTTTTTTCAACATTATTGGGACACGTGTGGTGGTGATGTGATGTAGGGTGGAAACCCTAAGGACCGATCTTTCACGAAAGGAGCGGATCCTGCGAAGAACACGAAAAACACGAGGGGGAAAACGAGGGGAATCACGAGGGAAAACACGAGAGAAACACTAAAACCAACAAAATATGGTCATACATGTGCCAGATCCATGAACACAAAAGAAGATACATGATCCACGATCAACAAATGACGATACAAAGGATAGCCGGTTCTTCTCCGTAAGGAGGTCTTGAATCCACAAGGGGATCTTCCCGTAAAGGGATCTTGAATCCAAGATGGATCTTCTCCGAAGAGGGGCCGCGATATCTCTCAAGGAGTAGATCCGATATGGATGAGCGAAGCTCTATCTCACAAATGAGCTAACACAATGCTAACCCTAACTAGGAGAAGGTGGAGGAGTATGTATAGTCTAGGTCCACAAAGGGGTAAATGGGAGAGGGATACATGGGCCTCGGGCCCGATCCCTGTACGCAGACAGGTACCGGACGTCCGCTGGGGACCGGTCGTCCGGTGGCTCGTGGGCTTCCGGATGTCCGGTAGTCGCCGGACTTCCGCTCACTTTGGCTCGGTTGAGGTGGCACCAGACGTCCGGTAGCTGGCGGTCGTCCGGTCGCCGGTCGTCTCGTGTCGTCGGTCTTCCGCTGAATTGGCTCGGGTGTAGATGTGTCGGTCGTCCGGTGGGGACCGGATGTCCGCTCGCTGGGAGTGGCCGGTCGTCTGGTGTCGTCCGGACGTTCGCTCGCTGGAGCTTCGTCGGCAGCTCTTCTTCTTGCGTCTTCGTTTTCACGCTTCCCTCGTGGATGGTGTAGTTGTACACTTGTGCTCACACTCCTCGTCGTCGTTCGTAGCATTCCGACAATACCTATGCATACACACGAGTGGAGTGTCAAGTAGTATACCATCCTTAAAGGGGTCAAGTGAACACGCGTAAAGAAGATGATTCACCTTTGTGTATGTGAAGTGGATGTCGAACGTGTCACTTGCCAAACGGACTTTTGACATGGTGATGTCCGTAGGATGCTCCGCATCATTTCCCCTCCCTTGGGAAAGATCTGACCTCGGATCGAAAACCAAATCACCATGGAAAAGAGATGGCTTCGCCGTGTAGAAGTGGACGTTCATCAAGTTCTTGTCATCTTGAAGCTCGAAATGGGCACTCTTCAATGTCGCACCGTCTTGTGATTCCTTCAAAAGGAGTAAGGACAAAAAACACTTGGAAAAACAAATGTGGTTAGCGTTAATGCAAAACCAAGCATTCAAGAGGTTATTCACCAAACAAGTGTCGTCATCATGCAAAGCATATGGTGTGACAAAGGATGAGGAAGATCGCTTGTAGGACTTGATGAGGGCTTTGATCTCATCCATTTGAGCTTGCATCTTGGCGTCGGTGGAGTTGTTCGTGGCATCGAACTCGTCGTTGTTGTTGTAGACCAAAGATGAAATGTCTTGCCTATCCATCACAAGACTCGAGCAAATATGAGTAGGAGACAGAGAAGAACTATACCAAATGTACCTTGACCGAAGTTGAAGATGGATCGATGATCACTCAACGATGTAACAAAGAAATAGCACAGTTGGTACCGATCTTGTCAATTTCTCACACCTACACAAATAAGGCTTATGGTGGAGCTCGGTGAGGATAGTGGCACAAAAATTTAATGCAAAATGTTAGCAAGAGTCAATAATATTGAAAGAGATTCACAAATTCGCAAGTGAAACAAGTAGACCAATAGCAATATGTGGTACACGGAAACACACACACAGATAGATAAATGGGGTCATGCAACCAAGGAATGAGCATAAAATGTAGAATCCACGGAAAACGCTCGTGTTGCACAACTCAAGAGAGACGCTAGCACGATTGCTCAATGGGAGGATACGACACTTGTGCACAACCTATGATATGCAAAATGTATGAACTTGCTATCCCAAGTATGCTATATATGTATGGTGTTCCGGTGGTATGATCACAGATGATCGGATATGACAATCTTATATGCAATGTGGTATGATGCTATGGCACTTGCTTATAAACTTATTTGCTCTTTCTCTTTTGCTTAAAAGCTTTTTTTGTGTATGACCACTTTTGCACAATGCA